CAAACCCAGAACCTCATATAGACCCTAAAACCTAAATTCTAAATCCTAAACCCTCGACCTCTTTAAAAGGTCGATTCCTGAGCATTTTCAATTTTCATGTCAGCTGGGTGAGGGGAAGGTTGAAAATTAGGGTACCTATTTGGGGCTTCCTATAGTAAGGACTAAAGTATTTTGGGGTCTATAGTTTTACCATTTGACGCGTTTCAGGGTTTAGGGTTTGCGGCCCCTTTTTGTGGGCTAAGGTTGCGTTTTGCGAATAGGGGGATGGGGACAGTCCTCCTCCGGGCTTTGAGAGGAGCCTTTGGGGGTTTAGGGTTTAGGGATGGGGGTTTCCCAAAATTAGGGGTACCTACTGTAACGGAGAATCAAATGGAAAAGAAAATGGAAAATGAAATGAAAATTGTGATTATAGTGGGGATTACATGGGAGTACCTTTTACATGGTCCCCCAAGGTTCGGAAAGAGAAGCAAGCTGTGTGCAAGTGAAGCTTTCCCTAGGACCTTCAAAGGCTGAGTAGATGGCTGGCTGTATCGGGAGGTGCTCAAAATCACGGATCGTTTGTTGGGGTCCGTAGAGTGATGACCCTACAGGTTTTCGGATTCCAGAACTCAGTAGGATTCCTTTAGAGAGTTTGAGGGCAAAATCAGATAGTTCACTTATGCTGTCCGTCCAGTACATTTTTTGCATTGCAAACACCATGGGCTCTAGAATTCGAAGCATGCGGACCTCAAGTTCAATCTTGTTTTACTTTATACCCCAAAAAGCAAACTCGAAACCCCTCGAGTTTTCAGTCGTAAGAGCTATGTAAGTTTGCATCGTGTTGTCAGCGCTGATAAGGTGCGCAAGGTATGTTCTTGCATATTTCCTATGCTGGATCTGGAATCCCCAGCAGTTCTCCATTGTCCTAAACAAATGATCCTCATCACAGTCATTCCTAAGACTTAGAACAAACTATCTTCCAAAGAAGCCCCAAGTCCCGCATGAAACGACAAAAGAACACGTTCTGTAAGCTCTTTTTAGGATTCTGGTTCCAAGTTAGATAATGCTGGTGTTCCGATGTTTTCTTGCTTTGGAGTGGACATGACATGCATTTAACGCGCGATCAGCTGACAAGACGTACGCAAAAGCATCGACAGCATGCTGCTCAGATCCGAAAGTGCCAGCAAGCCGCATTGTATTCCTGACCTGCTGGTACGCTGCGGCCAATCAGGAAAACAAGCGGGCAATCCAAGGACAGAAAACATCAGTGTGCATGATAAGCGGCGCTTGTCACGCTGCGCGGCAGCTTGAGAGCGAACATGTTGCGACCCAAGCAGAGAGTTGAGTTGTTTGCTCTGCATTATAAAGCTGTTTGCTCCGATGCCCTGAACCTTGTCATCCCTTTATCGTTCCCCTGCCTCGTCATGCAATCTGCCAGGAGCTAGTACATAATGGGCGTCGAACCTACAAGAATAGGACCAACCAAGCAGCCTCAACGCTTTGAAAAGGTATTCTCAAGGCCATCATAAGCACAAGGATTGTGTCCAAAGTTGATGGTCTTGATTGTCTTAATCTTGCATGTTCCTTCTTAGAGCGTGCCAGCACTTTGCTGACTACCCTGTAAAAGTTGGAGTATAGGAGCGGATGCTCGTAATGGGCTTACATACAACCGCCGTATAAACCCTAAAGTAGTTTCACCGAACTCCAAACCCTGAACCCTGAAGTAGTCTCCCTGCCCCGACCACCAGGGTGTATGGAGCTCAGCGTCAGGCACAACACGATCTATAAATGGTAGCATTACAATCAGTGAAGATTGTCTTGGTACTCCGCAATTAGGGCCCCTATAGCCGTCATGTGATTGTCATGAATTCTTAGTCTGAGGGTTGGTGTTACCAAGCATATTCCTTCCTTGCGCATCCACAGACACCACATGCCCTAAGCCCGACCGAAGCTGTAATTCCTACACCCGGCAGAAGCACGACGGTAAGGACCTTGTGACAGCCAAGACCCAAGAAACGAATTGTAAAGCCATACCACTGATACTGGTTCCTTATGTTGGGGCTGGCTTGCCAGAGAATCTTAGCCCCTAAACTACTCTGAAGCTTGTCCCCAAACTCCCAAAATACTCAGCCATCTAAAGTCTGCATCCCTAATCCGCAAAACTCAGGCTTGGACATTAGATCCATAAACCCTGATGTCGAGCCCCAAGCTCTGAACTCAATGACTCAGATGGCAAAGCCGGATTCTGGACGAGCTCGCGCGGAACTCCAAAAGAGGTGGCTCACTGCCAACGCCACGCTACAAGCCCCTTGGTGTATTGGCCTCCTTCTGTATACAGCTTAGGGTTCCTAGCTTCCTGACGGGATGCCTTTTGTTGTGGATCGCTGCTCAGAAACTGAAATTAGGACGGCAATGTGGGTAGGTTGTAAATAGCAGGGCTTCCTTATCATAGGAACCTAATTTAAGTTCCTTAACAGCAACGGGGTTTCAAGTTTTGACTATCTTGAAAGGGTTTGGTCGGGTGTTGCTACGGATCAAGTTATGAGAGCTTTGGTATGTTCCGACTCGGCATTGGGATGTGTATGGCTACATGTAGATTTAGCGCTCTGTGGTTGGGTGCGGAACAGGGCGGCAGAGTTCAGGGCTCTTTTGGTGCAAGGATTGAGGGCTAATTACGATGTCGTTAAGGCTCTGGAGCCTCAGAGTTTTAAGCACCAGGGTCTTCATGTATTTAGGTCATTTGCTGCAGTGAAGGATTTGTTAATTTGGGGTCTGGGGTTCAAGTTGTTTTTCAATTCTGGATTTGCGTTCAGAGGCTTGAGAGGCAGGAGAGTCATCTGGATTTGCAGTCACCTCCTTAATTTGGACATAAACTCTTCGCCTGCAAGGCTGATAATTTTTTTTTTTAAAAAAAAGACAAGGGCACGCTGGGCTTCAGCCCAGTTATAACGAACCTGAAAAGTTGTACGGCGTTTATCAGAATGGATGGGAGCGCAAACTTTCGATTGGCTTAGGCTTAGAGATTCGCAAGGTGATCTTACTCATCATACAAACCCCCCCCCCATCCCCCCGATGTAAGTTTAAACCTTGAACCCTAAACTTCGAAACAGTCAATTCAGAGGCTTCCCAAAGTTCTGCCAAGGCGGGAGCCAGAGCTGTATCCCTTGGCATTTGAGGCCTGCTCCTATACTGGGTTGCTGTCAAGGAA